TGACAGTAGGAGCTGTTCTGCTTCTGAGCAAAGGGGAGGAGGAGCTGCAAAGTCTTAGTTTTTCGGGCTAGAGTGAAAGAGACCTTAAAAGCTGTTTGCCTCACAACTTACAACTCTTTTTGTATCTAATGGCTTGAAAATATTAGAGTGGATAAATTCTAATGATTTGGGGGTTTGCACAATCGTAGAGCAAACAAAAAAGTCAGGGTAGTAATAATATGCCTCTGTGTTCACAAAATCATTTTACTTCAGAATGCCATGAAAATACTTTAAAGAGGTTTCTGTCAAGGCATTGTTTGAATAATAGGCTTACCTGGTGCTCAGGATTCAATCAGTGTTTTCCTTGATATAGGATGTCATTTTGTAAGCGAAGAGGACATACACAATTAACTGAAAACTCTAATTAAATTTCTGCTGCAAACACCTTTCTCGCTAGGCCACTTCATTCTACATGCTGATAGCAGAAAAAACAAAATGAAGAATCCTGATCTTTGAATCACTCAAATGCTGCATTTTCAGACACAGCTGGCACTTCAGAGATCAAGGTACCTGTGAATTTCAGTTTACGTTTGCCAATATGCAGAGTAGGATTTATCCAAGTGGCAACAAAAGCAAAGCAAGATTGTAGGAAAAAAAATAAATTAGATGCAGTGTGAGAATAAACTATATACAAATAGGAGACAGAGAATGATTAGAGAGGGGAAAAGAACAGAGAACAGGACTCTGGACGGTCTTTATGGCTCTATGCCATCATAGGAGCATAAGGAAAGCCAGCTATGGGAGAAGAACTCTGTAACAGGATAAAGCTACTCAGAAACGCATGCCATTCTGTGTCCCTGCCTCAGTTCAGGATGGAGAACAAGACTGGGAAAGAGTGGGCCTGCTGCTGTGAGCTGTCTCCAAACAGCCCCATGGGGCCCAAGACCCAGAAGGGAAGAAATGGGGGGAACAACACAGCCTATGACAGCTCCTGTGGAGCTGAGAAGTGGAATCAGGTAAAGAATGAATAAAGGCACCTTTGTCACCATTCCTCCAACCTTTTGCTGATAATAGTTCAGATGGATGAAATTAACTGGTTCATTAGGATTTGGCTGGAAGAGATTAATACAACAGGGTGCACCATGGACAAATGAGTATTACCATCTCACTTTTTAATATAAAATATTCAAGTTTTGAGAGAGATGCTACCACAAGAGAAATAACTATGTTTTCACCTGTATCATAGTTGATTTATCTTTACCTCAGAAACTCAAATGCTTTTTATCAGTTACAACTTGACAACAGTGTTCATTTAATAACTTTAATAGTGATATTAAAATGACATGTCCTTTTAAATGGGAATGAACAGTAATGCATATACAGAAATTCAGAAAAAACCTCAAAGTTGCATTTTCCTATTTCTTGCTTTGACATGTAAAAATAACTTCTCTGTTTCTTAACTAAACAGAAATGGATAAAACTTGCCATAAATGAGTACAGCTCTCAGTACAGGTAAATAAGTTAAAAAAAAAAAATCTAAATTGATCTATTACTCCTTGAAATTAAACACTCATAAATGGAAACTTTGCTCATGTTTCTCCAACTTCATGGATTTTGACTGACATATCTGTCCTTATAACAGACACTTTCAATCAAGAGCCCTTAACAGAAGTGTCCTTAACTATAATAGTCTTTAAGTGTGACTGTCTGTGCCAGGTGGGATGAACTCTTGTGTGTTCCTGCAAGGAAGCTCCAAGCTTCTGTGGGTGCAAAGAACTTGTATTGGCTTGGATGTGTTTAGTGTTGTAAATACTGTTGGCCTTTAGAAACCACATAAAACCAAGCACAGGGGAAAAAAAAAAAAAAAGAGAGAAATAAAAGTGTGTAACCTGTGTGTCTTAGCACTCCTGCATGGGTGAAATCTAACACTGGAGTATTGCCACTCAGTTCAAAAGGGCCAGGATTTCAGCCTATATGATCCAAACTTACAAAAGTCTTCCAAAGGGTTTTGAGTAAAACACGCAACCTTTAACATCCAAGGGCCAAACATGTTATTTTGACAGGTCAAAAGGATAGAACTAGGAGTAGCTGACAACTCTGTCCTACTCCCTTTACACTGCACAGGTAGGGCTCATGCTTTTAAAATCACAGGGCACACCTCAGTGTGTATGTTCTATTCATAAGGCAGTACAAACCTTCTGCCTAGTTTAGTTGTCCTTAATTTAAGCCCTACCATTTAGGGCTCTGGGCCAGAGGTTACACACCAGAAGAAAAATCAGGGCCTGACTAGCGATGACTCAAACCCTTCACTCGGTGCTGAAACACTTCAGTGCTCCCTTGATTATTTTGGCACTAGAAATTTATGACCCAGATTCTGGGACACTGTATGGCCCCATCCTGCCCCTGCCTCAATTAGGCTATTCACTCAGCTTCTCTCTGTGTGTTTCCTTAAAATCCTAGCAGAAAAGAAGATCTGTAATGAAGCACGATGAACTGTCACCAAAGTGAAGTCCTGAGACGGGCTGAGGAATTAACATAGGGTATTTGAGCAGGAAAATGTGTGCCTCCTTTAAGGCACATTTAAGCAGTCAGAGGAACATTAAGGAAATACGGTTAGAAGACTCATTTAGAAGTGAATTTTATCACTTCCTGGATGGTTTTCAGGAGGTCTGTTTTGGAGTGACTGAAAGGAGAAAGTATGATTAAAGTTGTTTTAGAAAAAGAGGACCATGATGTCAAGAGTGTGCAATGCACATTTTAATGTGATAAGAAGCATTACTTGGAAAAGGTTTGCATTTTTGAAGGACTTTTACACATCATATTCTGTTAATTACTTCATCATTAATCCTTCTGAGAAATCAATGCATGTTGCCAGACAGAAACCCATCTAGCTGACATTAGGAGCTGTTCTCCATCAGAAGCAGGAAAATATCTCCTAAATGCACATGGAATGGGAAGAACTAGCTGAGTGCAGTATTTTTAAATGTAGGTGAAAATGTCACTGGGATTATTTAGCAAAGAAATAGGAAGGGGCAATAAACCAAGTTGTTTAAAAACAACTTCTTAACAGAGATTAATTTTATGTAGAGGAAAATTACAAAAAGCACTTCTGTTGTCTGAATATAACATGGGAGCAGGTGGCAATAATGTTTCTAATCCTTAAATATCTCAGCAGTGCTTCAAGTTCTCAACTTCTTATGTTTGGTTGCACAGACTCCACCTACAACCTGAATCATAACTCAGGAAAAGTACAATACTTCACAGCTCAAGCAGGGAGAAACTTTTCCTCGTACATGTGGAATGGTGAGACCACATTTTATTTTCTGAATTCCCTTTAGTTCCTGAAAGGGAGAAAACATTTTGACTTGCCATTACCACTTTACCCTTGGCTGGTGTATTTCCCTCTTAGACGAAGAAAGGTTTGAAGTGATAAAAGTTTACATAATGTAGCTAAGCATATTATGTAAAGATTAAAGCAGCAGGGTCAGCACAGGGACAGAAGTCTCTCAGCCAGGCCAAAGCAGCCGGGGTTACCTGAAAGACAGTTCTCTTGGAGGTTTGTTTCGTTCCAGGTTAATATTATTCACACTAAACATTTAAGTGTGGCTCTGCCTTGGCCTCTCCTATTCCCGACTGCGATGCTTGCCACAGAGGCAATGCCTTCCTGCGTGGGAGGCGAGATTCCTTTACCTGGCCACAACCAGGCGACAGTGCCTATCTCCTGCTGGGATGCTGCGCGTCCCCCGGTGCCGTCAGTGCCTGGGGGCGGTTTGTGGCACCGGGCTGTGCTGATGCCACGCAGTGATCGAAACTACCGCGGTCACACAAAAGTGTGGCCACCACCAAGTGCCGAGGTCCCGGGCCCTGCCCCACCGCGTGTCCCCTCCCCGCCTCCCGGGCGCTCCCGCGGGGCATCCGCGCATCCCCTCCGGCCGCTCCCCCGGGCTCCGCCGAGACAAAGGCGGCGGGAGGTGCGGGTGGCGGGCCGGCAGGAGGGGGCCAGGGGGGTGGGGAGGGAGGGGGCGACCGGCAGGGGTAACAAAGGAGCCGAAAAAGAAGAGAAGAGCTAAGAAAGTTGATATCGGCCTCCGCCGCCGCGCTCGTCGCAGCCCGCCCCCCCCCCCCAGCACCCCGGACTTTGGCGTGAGAGCCCGCGGTAATCGGGCGGCGGCAGGGAAGAAGGCCGTATACCCGCACCTCCATCCCCTCGTCGGGGCTCC